CAGTATTGAGGATGGTACTATTTAATTTGTTCATAAATGATCTGGAACTAATTGCCAAGTTTGCAGAATACATCAAAGTATTCAGGATGGTGAAAACCAAGGCTGACTATGAAGAGCTCCAAGACGACCTCCACAAATTGGGTGAGTGGGTGACAATGTGGCAAATGAGGTGCAGTGTTGGTGTTGGTAAGTGTAAGGTGATGCACATTGGATCCTCCGCCGTGGCTTGGCAGCCCTATTTGTCACCGTGGTAGATAACCTGTGCTGGGAGATGGACACAGTGAGTACAACTCTGCTGATTCTCCTGGATCTCTTACAGGCTTTCAATACCATTGATTATGATATCCTTCTGGACTGCCTTTCTGAACTGACGTCAATTTGCAGTGGTTCCAGTCCAACATGTAGGGTAAAGGTGGTGCTGGGGGACTGTTACTCAGACCCTTGGCCTCTGGCTTGCAGGGTCCCACAAGGTTCCATCTTGCTACCTACACCATTTAACATCTATGTGAAATTGCTGGGTGAGGTTGTCTGGAGATTTGGGCTGGGTTGTCACCAATATGCAGATGATGCTCAGATCTATCAAATGCTTCCAGGTAATCTAGCTCACACTAACTCAGCTTAGAGGGAACACTGGTAGCAGCTACGGCCAGGAGTGCCTTTTACCAGCTCCAACTGGTTAGTCAGCTGCGGCTGTTCCTGGGCAGAAAAGATGTGCCCATTGAGGTTACGTGCCCTGGTTACATCAAGATTAGATTACTGCAATGCCAATGCATTCTACATAGGGCTGCCTTTGAGAAGTATTCAGAAACTTCAGTTGGTACAGAATGCTACAGCCAGGATACGGACTGAGGGTCATAGAGACCAGATCACTCCATTCTTTGCCAATGTACACTGACTCCAAATCTTTTCTGGGCAAAATTCAAGGTGTTGACATTTAAGGGCTTATATCAGAGGTGTCACATTCATTTGTTACGAGGGGAAGATCTGACATAAATGTCACTTTGTTGGGCCAAGCCATGTGTGCCATAAAATGTAACAATGAGGTACTGGAGATATAAAGTTTATAATGGTGACTTCAGATGCCAAATGGCAATTGCTGATGAATGACAATAACAGGCTTGACTGGACTAGGTGTAACATGCAGAGGGGTGGTAGTGCTAGTATTTATTTTATTTATTTATCAAATTTATACCCCACCCTCCCTGCCGGAGCAGGCTCGTGGTGGGGAATCTGATTATGAACAGTTCTGCAGGACCCCAAACTAGGGTTGTCAACCTCCAGATGACGGCTGGAGATTTCCCGGGATTACAACTTATCGAATATTTCAACATACTAGTTTAAGTTTAATGGTTCACAATAGTTTAAACATTACAAGATATGTGAAATGACAGTGTTTAAAGCTATGGAGGGAGAAAAACCTCAAGAAGTAGATATAGTAATAATCTTTCCAAGCCCATAGTAAAAGAAATATTAATGTTCAGATGATTGTGATTTGCCAAAACAATGGGTTTCGACTGCCTGTAATAATTAAAGAAAAAGTGTTTAATGTAATGATTTCCTTTCAATTTATGAAACCTGTAACTGTTTCTTGTGTGTGGAAAATAACAGTAAAAAGAAAATTAAAACAAAACAAAAACTGATCTCCAGGTGACAGAGATTGTTCACTTCGAAAAAATAACCACTTTGGAAGGTGGACTGTATGTATTATACCCCATTGAAGTCCCTCTCCTCCCCAACCCCCCCCTCCTTAGGCTCCACTCCCCAAAAGCTCCAGGTTAAACACCACTCAGAAACTTCAGAGTTAACCCACAAGAGTAAGGCTGTTTAATATGCCAAACAATAAAACCCAAAGCTGAGAACTTCCTTCCCTCAGCAACCAGCCCAAGAACTTTAATTCTGCTCAGTAACACAAAGGAAAAGCAACCACAACCGGCAGCTTGAAGCCAACTGAATGTTATTACAAAGGCGTGCTCAACAGACTGAAATAAAATGTTGTTGGTCTTAAAGGTGCCAAGGGATCCAAGGAGGGGGGGGAGCTCCTCTCAAGAGTGCCCCCCCCTCATTTTCCCTCCCCAAAGCAGGAGGAGTGGGGAGGAGACAGCCAATGGAGGGAAGGAAGGTTGGGTTCTTGTCACTCCCATACAATTGAGAAGCCAGGCTGCAATGCAGCAGCTGCCCTGGAGAAGAAGTGTGCATGTATACAAAAGCTTATACCTGAAATAAAACTTTGTTGGTCTCTTAAAGGGGCTATGGGACTCAAACTTTGTTCTCTCTCATGCACGATCTCTCTCTCTCTCTCCCCCATCCCCTCCCTCCCTCCCCAAAGGAGGGGGGGAGACAGCCAATGGAGGGAAGGGAGGTTGGGTTTTTATCTCTCCCATGTGACTGATAGAGCTGGCCAAACGCAAGCTGCGATGCAGCCACAGCTCCAGAGAACAAAGCATGAGAGCGCCAGTTGCTTGTGGGCCAGATATAAGCACTGCAGGGGCTGGTTCCAGCCAACGGGCTGTATGTTTGGCCACCCCTGCCCTAGAGGATACTTGGAAACTATTTAAAACCACGCTAATTGAAGACCAAATATAATGCATTCCACAGGTTAGGAAAGGCACTGCCAAATCTAAAGTAAGGCCTGTGTGGTTAACAACGCAAGCCAAGGAAGCTATAAAAAGTAAAGAGGCTTCTCAAGTAGAAGGTCTGCCTCAACGAATTGAACAGGAGGGAGGGATCACAGGCTCTGGCAAAAGAAATGCAAGTCAATAAAAGCATCAAGACAAACAACGGACATTTAAAAAATACATCCCAAGAGGAAACCAGTCAGAGAAGCAGTGGGCCCTTTGGATGACAAAGAAATAAAGGGATTGCTAAAGGAAAATGAGAAGATGGCAGAGAAACTCAATGACTTTTTTGCTTCTCTGTTCACTGTGGAAAGTGTGGGGCACGTACCCATGCTACAGCCACTATTTTCAGGAAGGGAGTCTGAAGAAATGATCCAAATTGAGGTGACCAGAGATGAAGCTCTAGACTACTGGGGAAATTAAAGACCAATAAGTCTCCAGGTCCTGATATACCCGAGAGTTCTTAAGGAACTCAAATGTGAGATTGTTGATCTACTAACCTGTATATGTAACTTATCACTAAATTTAGCTGCTATACCAGAAGACTGAACAGTAGCAAATGTGACACCAATTTTTTAAAAAGGAATCCAGAGGGACCAGGAAATTATAGGCCAGTCAGCCTAATATCTTTCCCAAGCAAATTGGTAGAAACTGTAATCAAAGATAGACTTGTTAGGCACATAGAGGGACAAAGTCTGCACGGCTTCTGCAAAGGGAAGTCCTGCCTTACCAACCTTTTGGAGTTCTCTGAGAATGTGAACAAGCATGTAGATAATGGTCACTCAGTAGACATTATATACCTGAACTTGCAAAAGTTTTTGACAAAATACCTCACCAAAGACTCCTGAGTAAACTAGCAGTCATGGGATAGGAGGACAGGTTCTCTTATAGATTAAAAACTGGTTACATGACAGGAAGCAAAGAGTAAGAATCAATGGACAATTCTCACCATGAAGGTAAGTAAGCAGTGGGGTCCCATAATGATCAGTACTGAGGATGGTACTATTTAATTTGTTCATAAATGATCTGGAACTAATTGCCAAGTTTGCAGAATACATCGAAGTATTCAGGATGGTGAAAACCAAGGCTGACTATGAAGAGCTCCAAGACGACCTCCACAAATTAGGTGAGTGGGTGACAATGTAGCAAATGAGGTGCAGTGTTGGTGTTAGTAAGTGTAAGGTGATACACACTGGGACAAAAATGCCAGTTTAAAATATAAGCTAATGAGGCCTGAACCTGCCGAGACTGAGAGGGAAAAAGATCTTGGGGTCGTAGTGGATTGTTCAATTGAAAGTGTCAACCTAGTGTGCTGTAGTGGTGAAAAAGGCAAACTCTGTGTTAGGGACTGAGAATAAAACGGCCAATATTGCAATGCCCCTGTATAAATCTATGGTGCAGCCTGATTGGGAATACTGTGTACAGTTCTGGTCAACGTATCTTAAAAAGGACATTACAGAGCTGGAAAAAGTACAGAGGAGGGCAACCAAGAAGATTCAGAGTTTGGAGCACCTTTCCTATGAGGAAAGGCTGAAGAGTCAGTTTAGAAAAGAGACGACTAAGGGGGGGCATGAAAGAGGTTTATACAATTATGCATAAGGTAGAAAGAGTTGACAAAGATAAATTTTCCCCCTCTCCGAGAGAAAATGCGCCCCCACAGTGTTTGGCTGCCTGAACTGTCCGTCAAATGCTTACCCAGGCTCCATTGGCGATGTCGTGTGCGTCCCACCTCCGACGCAGCTTCACGCCGCAGAGATCACATATTCTGCTCCCCCCTGGAGCTCCAGCCTTCCCGGCCATGGGACACGTCGGCAGGCGCGGGGCCAGAGCCAACGGGGGCTCGCCGCCCGGGGCGAGCCGCTGCTCGCCTATCTGGCGGGGCAGACGGCAAGACGCCCCGGTGCCTGGAGCCGCAGCCGCATGGGTCAGGGGGGAGGGGGAGGAGGCGAGGGGGCCGCGCTTCTCGCCAGCGGGGAGGCATGAGGGGCGAAAGGCGACTTTCCCCACAACGGGGGTCGCCGCCCGGGTCGAGGCGCTGCTCTAAGCGCCGGTGCCTGCAGCCGCGGCCGCATGGGTAAGGGGGGTGGGGCAGCAGGCGAGGGGGCCGCGCTTCTCAGCAGCGGGGAGGCATGAGGAGCAGGAGGCGACTTTCCCCACAACGGGGGTCGCCGCCCGGGTCGAGGCGCTGCTCTAAGCGCCGGTGCCTGCAGCCGCGCCCGCATGGGTAAGGGGGGTGGGGCAGCAGGCGAGGGGGCCGCGCTTCTCAGCAGCGGGGAGGCATGAGGAGCATTGTGCTGTAACATATGCAGCTGAACACGAAAAATATCTAGAAGGCATGAATTCTCATTACTGAATGATCTTTATATAAAAGAGAAATCTTCTTACCGAATTGATCCAATCATGTAAGGTTGTGCCAGCTGTACTACGATTGCACCACTGCC